CTTTCAAAGATGACACGAATTGTCTTCTTTTCATTTATTTCAAGGAGCGCACTCATGCTGTGCCAGTGTACCATCCCACCCCAGGCGAGAGCCGTCTGGCCAGTCAGCTGACTGAGGAGGAGCAAGTCCGCATCGCACAGCGCATAGGACTCATCCAGCATCTTCCCAAAGGCATCTTTGATCCAGGCTCTGACGCCTCTGAGAAGAAAGTTAAAGAGTAAGTTTTAAATGGTGGCACTCTCATTTGTTTCAATTTACATATTGCTTGGATTTTTCCCCCCCCCATTTGATCCTTTAAGAGTTCAGTAATTTGTGAAATGCAGTTACTAATAGTTTATTCAGAAATCTTTGAATAGTTCCACTGTCCAAGAACACAAAGCTTTCGCATCTTGATGCATGCTCAATCATCCAGGTAAGGAAATCCCAAAAAGTTGATTCTGTTCATCTGGACGTAGCGTTTTTTTAGTGGGAGAAACATTTCGTCACTCATCTTAGGCTACGTCCACACTAGCCCGGATAGATTTGAAAACGGCGTTTTCGTCTGAAAACGCTCCGCGTCCACACTAGCGTTTTCAGTCATTTTCATAGAGTTGTGCGTCCACATTGAAACGGCCGAAAACGCTTACATTCCAGTTCTGCGCATGCGTGAAGCGCAAGAAGATTTGACCTGCCTCATTTCTCTCTGCCACTTATTTACTTTCCGGCTCTTTGAAACGTTGCGGCAGAATGTTGAGGAAAAGCACTGAGTTTTTTAAATGGACTAACAATGAGGTGGAGTTGTTGCTGCGAGTAACACAAAAGTACAAAGTTGCAAAAGCGAGTGAGAGTTAAACAATTTGAAGAAAAGCTATCTAGAGCATGTACAGACTGATATTAATCTTTAATAGGGCTGTCAAAATTCAGAGCAAAGCAGCTATCACAGCAGTGTAAGATGGTGAAAAATATACCCTTCTCGATTCAGAGATGGTCTTTCCCTTTTCACATAAATGGCCTCCTTGACTCCTCTCACAAACTAGCATTCCTCCCTGTCCGGGATGTGTACATCCTCATCATTGAAAGAGAGGCCACTGGCCTGTAAGTGTACATAGACTGCTGAGTCCTGGCCTGACGAGTTAGCTCTTCTGCGGGGACCAAGAATTGGGTCCCCCGGCACAAACAGAGTAATATAGTATAAGTTGTTAAGTGCCAGGAGCATTGCTGTGATTTATACATTGGGGCAACAAAACAACCTCTGGCTAAGGCGATGACAGAGCACAGAAGATGAGTTATCGTATGAGTTATTGATTGTATTTTGAGATGCTTTTTTTGTAATATATCAAAGTCTTTGGGTATTAGTAAATCCTTTCACTTTTTTCCCCTCCAGATGTGTCATCTGCATGTTGGATTTTGAATATGGCGACCCCATTCGGTTTTTGCCCTGCCTTCACATCTACCACGTGGACTGCATCGACCCATGGCTGATGCGTTCCTTCACCTGCCCCTCCTGCATGGAGCCCGTAGATGCAGCCCTGCTGTCTACTTACGAAACCAACTGAGCGGCCCCTGGTGGCTGCTCCTGCCTAAAAGTAATGCACCTTTTTAGCCAAAACTGTCATAGCTTTTCCAACAGATAGATGAGGGGATGTGGCATGATGCAGATGTTTGTTGGGTGCTTGTTAATACACACAAGTAAACAACTGTGTCCTACAGCACATTCTGTAGGCCTGAAATGCACCTAGTCAGACTTGGAAAGCATGCTTTGGCAGAAGGAAGATGTGCCAAATACAACAAATGAAGGAGCTGTACAAGTAGCAAAATATTACTGCACAGTAATTTCACTTTCATATGACTTACACTTATTTTTGCCTTTGTGTTATTTGCACCCTCTTTCAAGATGTGTGATGTGTAACATGTTCTCTAAATGGAGGAAATGCATAATTGTTTTGATCAAGTGGGAATCATTTTCAGAATTTCCAGTGAACACATGAAGTGAAGTAACTGCACTCTCCAAGTAAACTTGTGATCTTGAATGCCACCTAAACACAATACTCTCTACTGAAAAGCATACATCAGTATACATAAAACTTCACAAATCACACTTTCCTGAAGCTATGCCATGAGATAAAATGGCGTCAATTCAGCTTTTGAGCATATTTTGAAAATTACTCCAGTTTTATTTTAGCTGCTTTGACTATATGTGAATGTTTCTGTTGCTTTCCCACAATATGAATCCTCAGCTTTTGCTTTGCCTTAAGTTTGTGCTCTCAACCCGTAGTTTGTCCTCTACAGTCAATAACAAAGACACAATATACCGTGCAATCACCCTTAAAGCACCTTGAGATAAGATGTCTGTCACCTGATACTGTGTAGCTTGTAGATTTCGATAATGGTGTTTTTTCTATGTGTGTATGTTTGCATTTTATGGGTTGTTGGATAGAGATCGTCATGTCGAGCTAACATTGTGAGTTAACCCCCTCAGCTGTAAAATGTAATGTAGTTTCCGCTCCTTTTCTTGTTTGAAGCTTTTGGATTGTGCGCCAGATGCCTTCTAAATGAGCAAGTGATGCATTTCCAAAGCTTCCACATCTGGTAATGGAATGTGATTTTTATGCTTTTGGTGTTGGACATGTGCTGTCAGTTATCGTTGCATAATGCACAAAGATGTGAAGTGGCAAAAACAGAAGCTACAGCAGTAGAAAGGAATGTATCTTCAATGTAAAGCATGATTTCAGTTGTTACACATGGACAGTATGACTGTAAAAGGAAATTTGTGATTTACTGTGCACATACTGTGCCTTTTAAGGTTGAGGTAAGCCAATTTCCTGTGAAGTACAATCATTTATGACATTACTTTTGTTTTTCTTTAGTTGTCCTCTAGGAGGAGGCAGATACCAGCAATGTAGTGATTTGTGTCACGATGAAACAGGCCTAGGATGAAGCCAGAAATGTGATCTGGCTGCTGTTAACAATCAACAGTCATTCTGTCTTTTGATTTATGACTTGTGCTACAAGTGCACAGGTTTTAGGAAATCCATAAAACCACAATAAAAGTGGATACCAAATCTTATACAAGTGTGATGTTTTGTTTCTGCATTAAATATTGTATTGAAACACATTCTCAACCTCTCAGCTGGAGAGGACTTAAGGAACAGACAAAACTGACTTTAATTTATCATGTTTTATATAAATCTTTAGATTCCTTAAGGAACAGAGCATGTATTTATCTCAAACACCATTGCATACGACTGCGTTATAGTCTTCTGTGTTTAACTGAGCACTAAAATAATTTGTTTCCATAAATGACTGATTTGTATTGATAACAGTTAAGCCCACTGAGTATAGACAGTGTGCAACTCTAACACCAAGTGCTCAAGATGTTAAAACTTGACAGTTAATCCCTGAAGTGGATTGGCTGTCTACGCCTTTACATGAAAAGCTTCAAAGAATGTGTCATCAGTGTCACAGCTCAGAATGAGTCAGCCCTCATTTCTTTGCGTTTTCTTAGAAAAACAGAAAATGCACAAACGTAACTGCAAATCAAGTACAGTCAGATAGAAACCGTCAGTACAATTATTATGAGCTTGGAAGTTAATATTGGTATGATCGCCTTTATTCTTCAACATAATCTGAACTCAAATATCTTGTCATTTCTCATAGTCAGGAATAGTTCTCTAGGCTTCTTGAAGGATATTCAAAGCTCTTCTTTTTTTTGTATCTTAGCTGCCTGTTCAAAGGAATCCCACAGTACTTTAACAATGTTGAGGTCTGGTCTGTGGGGAGGCCAATCCAAGAGTGACAGTTCCACTGTGTATTTTTCTACATAGTGCGTTTGCATTGTTTTGCTGATTATAGTGCTGAAAAATGACTGTCTGAAAAGCAATTAGATGCTTTTCAGACAGTATTACATGGCAGATCAACGTCTGACAGCACTTTGCTGTGTTCATAAATTCATCAGTTTTTACAAGATCCTCAAAGCCACTGGTTGAAATGTAGCCCCAAACCATGAAAGAGCGCCACTGATCACTCATCACTTCTTCAAACCTGATTGCTACTGATTGTCATTCCAGTTTTTGTGTACTTTGACATACCTCAGTCTTTTCGCTTGTTTTGCTTCCTTAGGAATGGCTTCTTCACAGCCACCCTTGCACTGAGACCATTTCTAATGAGGCTTTGGTGAGCAGCAGATGGATCAACTGAAATTCCAGATATATCTCTTATGCCCTATGTGAGGTCTGCTTGAGTTTCTTCCTGTTTTTTAAGGACGTGGCATTTATATGCTGTTCATTTGCTGTAGATAGTTTTTTTAATCACGCTATTTCTTCTTTTGTCTTCTTGTTTCCTCATATTGTTTATAGACACATTTCACACCATGCTGAGATACATCAAGCTTCTTTTTAAGGAAATGGGAACAAATTGGTTTCTTTGTTAAGTTGTCTTAACATATAGACACAAAACTGGTTTGTTAGTTAGTCACCTGTTTATGCTTGAATGATCCATGGATCAAAATGAAACTATTTGGGTATGAAAACTGGACTGCAGCCAATGTCCAAAGAAAAATGCTGAAACACCTTTAGAAAGTCTAGAAATGTATGACTCAGGATCACTTTAAAAAAAGACGATAATCGTTATCAGGCAAAATTATTTATGTTTTAAACAAACAGTTTAAACATATCACTCTGGGCTGAGTAAAACTGAAATAAGATTTTTTTTAGCTTGCAACATTTGTTAAGCAGATGTTAGCCTGATGGAGGCAAAAAACACTTAAGCGTGCTGTGGGTGGCTTGCCAGCAAGTGAGTTTATTTAGTGTTTAAATCATATAAAAAGGACTTGCTCCCCGCATCCAGACTCTTGTATGACTAAGAGCCAAATGAACAGCAGGCATGTAGTCGGGTGCCAGAACATTAGTGGACATGTCCACCAGCTGGACCCTCAACATCAGCAGAGTAATGCTCATTACTAGAATGAACTTCATGATCACTGTACTAAAGGAGAAAAATTTCACGATACAGTACGATAGAGATATTTTCTTTCTGCAGAATATTTTATTAAAAGGTTCATATATATTTACAGTATTTAAAGCACACATATTGCACATTTTCAACCACACTGGATATCAGTGTAACAGATTCAGAAACTATTACACTTATTGCACGTGTGTGTGAGTGTGAATGGTTCCTATGGATAAATTACATAAATGTTACACAGTATTTTGTGATCTGTACATGTTCTTAAAATCTTACAGTTATAATCAGGTGGGGATTTATCTGCTTTTAGGTTTACAGTACCAAAGCAAAGATTTCAAACCTCAACAGCAACACTTCATTTCACAGTATTTCTTGAGTTTCTTTCTATAAAGCGTACATTCCCACACTGACAGTAGCCAGAGCCACAAACAGTCCCAGGACCATCCTGAGCAGCGAGGAAGTGTAAATGTTTTCTGACGTGTGGAGTGTGCTCGCCTTTACTGTCTTGGACTGTGTCATCGAGCTCTGCAGGTTGTTGTCAGAGACAGTCAGCATCTTCTGTAAATCTTCAAAGACCTGTAACACAAACAACAGAGCATCTATCAGCTGCTGTAGCTAAATATCAGTAAGTGTAAGAGCTAATCAGCTGCCCTCTGAGTGGCACTTTTGCTTTACGGTCACACCTTCTTACCTGAATGTTGAACTCAAAGGCCCTGACAGCCTCCTCCAGCACACCGTTCCTCTCCTCCTCTGTCAGCTCCACACTGTTCATTCGGCTGCGATAGAGCTGTTTGAACAGGTTGGGGCTGGACACCCCAGGGAAGGCAAAGAAGGACAGGCCATCACCATTTTTCAGATCCATGGACTTCTGAGCGATCCGACCAAGAACCTGTCCGCCCGACAGGTCACCCAGATACCGGGTGTAAGCATGGGCAAGCAGGAATTCAGGGTTTTCTTTGCCAATCTAAAAAATGGTAATGGAGCGTTAATTGACCATCACCTAGCAGAGATAGAAACATGCATGTGATTCATGGAAGATTAAATAAAACATACCTGTCTGAGCCTGTGGCTGTATCTTTTAGTGGCTGCAGGAATGACAATCTTCTTTCTCCAGTCCTGACCATAGAAGTATTCCAGATCTTTTTCAATGGACTTCAGCCTGGCCAGTTCAGCAGGAAAGTAAATAGGTGCAACGCTCGGATGGTCCGAGTTCCTGTCCATCTCTTCCTCCAAAGCCTGGTAGATCTCATACAGCGAACACAGGAGGAACTGAAGAAGAAGAGAGACAAAGCCATTAAATCTTGGTATCGACCCCCACAAAAGTAAGATTTTTTAAACAATTGTGCTGTCCTTTTTTTAATATTACCTTATATTGCGGAAGCGTGACCTTTCCCCTCTGGAAGCTCAGCATCAGTTCTGTGTTTTCTGCTCTAACGTGACTCTCCTTAGTCACTTTTTTTATTTGTTCAGACAAGTCCCTGAGAAAAGAAATTGATCACAATTAGAAGAGAAAGCCAACATTTAATGTATTGCAGCTAAGGAAAAGGCAGTGACACAAGGCTAAGAGCAGTAATCATTAGAAAACATGTAGGGCAAATATGTGCATCCAAAGTAAATTTCCATTATGAAAACATATTGTGATTAGAAATGTTTATGTAGCTCATAAGCTTCCCAAACATATTCTGCTACTTGAGATATGTGTTGGATGTCACAGAGCTGATTGAAAACTAAATCTATCCCCAGACATTAAAAGTAAAATGTGCATGGAGCGGAAAAGAAGATTTTGATTCTTAATAAAATCACAGCAGCTCAGTCTAACCTGTCAGTCATCTGCTCTGCTGCTGTATGCGTCTTCTTCTCGGTTTCCATTGTGCCCCTGAAAAAACAGTAAAGGACAGTAAAGATGTCAGAGAGGTACTTTAACAGAGCATAAATCATTTTCTGATATTTTTTTAACACTGTGGATTACGGGATATAAATCGACAAAAGGTTGTCAAATTTAAAGTATGATATTTCGTTTGACTCACCAGTAAGAATGAAGTCTGATCTGTGCCCTTAGTTTCTCTCTGGATGTCCAGTGCAGTTGTGTGCTCTGCTGGCTTTCACGCTTCTCTTTATACGGTCTGCTTCAGTCTCCTCCTCCCACCACCAGCTCAACACAAACAGGAACTCAGCCTCAACAAAAAAAACTGGGCTAAACATGACACGGCAACTTCAGCAACAATAGTAGGAGGGGACCAGGAGTTAACATGATACGGCAACTTTGAGAATAGCACGGAAAACTGCTGAGGGAAGGACTACCAGAGTGTGAGGAGGCAGTTCCCTGGAAAACCAGGGGGAGGGCTGAGCGCTAAACATGATGCTGCAACTTCAGATTCCAAAGTAGAGCCACACAGGGGAGGAGGAGCTGAGGCTAAGCATGACAGTGTGAGTTTGCGAAGCTGTGAGAGAGGAAGTGTTTAAACAGTGACTAATGCTGTGCATTTAATCAGAAACAAGAGCAGGTTTGTCATATTACGCAAGTCTATCAACAGTCAGTGACAAAGTGGAGGAGTATTTTTGACAAACAAGAGTAGATACTGTTGATTTAGTCCACGTAAACAATAGTAAAAAGCTACTGATATCATCTTTACACACAAAAGTTAAGCCCAAAACTTATTTGTGACTAGCCTGAAATAAAACAAAGCTTTTAAAATTATTTCTTCCACAATATGTCATCCATGAGTGACTGTGACATGCAGAAAGTTTTGTAAACTAACCAACCAAAGATATGAGATATCTGAGCATTATACACAGATGTGATCAATTCATACTGATTCAGAGGGTACTAATATGCTCCTGTAAACAGCCTCTACCCTTCTGGGAAGTCTTCATTCTTGATTACCTAATAGTGCAAGTATTTAAAAGAGATTATAATCTGCAAAAATCTTCTGTCATCCACTAAAAGAGCGTCACTGCTTTTATCTTTATCCTACTGGACCCCTCCTAGAATTGTTACTCGGACATCTTTTCATGGGGTTTTGCATTCTGGCAGAGCTCTACTGCAGTGCAACATTAAAAGAAGTCAGCAAAGTGTTCCTAATTTTAATTTTCCTCAGAAGCTGCTTGAAGGAGTAAAGGTCAGAGGTCTTGAACTACAGGAACAAAACTGGAACCACACTACTGTCCAACCTAGTTTAATTCGAGTTATTTATAGAGCCATCTTGAGGCAAAGGAAACAGAAAACCGCTTCACTCTGAGCAGCTCTTCCAGCGAAACAACTCCCAGCCTCTACGTGGTTGGCAGTATGCTTAAACCTTTGGTCTTTTATAAAGAACGATTATTATCATATATTCACTTTAAGTGAAAATAAGGTATGTTTGTCATATGGGTGTCTACATAGCTTTGACTATAAACTGTGCTTAGACGTTTTATGTAAAGGCCTAAATAAAAATGGCATTTAAAATACGTGACTACTTGAAATCAGTTGAGACAAAATGATGAAAAAATACCGCTACGTCTGTTTTTTATCAAAAGGCCAAACGTTTCAATGCGTAATTATAACCTACATGTACAAAAAAATAACATAAAAAAGCATAACTCTGTGTTATATATGATTTGAAAAATGTGTCACTAAACTGCAGACTGCCGTGCATCTGCTCAGCCATCTGCAGGTATAAAATCACAAAGCTTCACTCGGGCTTAACGTGACTCAGCACAGCGTAGTGACCGACCGAGAGGGAGGGAGGGCGCTAAACGTGAGTCAGCAGGCTTTGCTTCACACGTATACGGCTGAGCAGCACAGCGTGCCCCAAAGGAAAGACAGTGAGTTTACCACAGGAAGTCTGTGACAGAGCTGGCCCGAGATTTAGGAGCTTGTTAGAGGTTGTGTGCTTCATGTTACCGGACCAAAATCAGACATTTTCCTGAATTAACGATAGTTTTTGGTCAAACGTGGAAACAAAACGAAAGGAAGACAGACATCGATGTGAGACGTGTTTGAGATTTTCTGCTCAGTCTTATCTTATGTATTTATTTTAGATTTAAAAAAAAACCCCACAAGCTTCGAAAACCCCTCTTTTGGGCATAGTAGAAAGCCCACTGCTTAACTGCTATTATCACAAACATTAAATTAAACTAGAGGACTTCAAAACAACTTGTTTTCCTCACTAGCTAGCACACATGACTAGCGTCTAGTTAGCTCATTTATTTGCCTTGCACAGTCAGCAGTCTGCTGAAGGTGAGCTATTCATTTACTCGCCCAGGTGAGAATGTTTTCTCTTCAGCAATTTAGGCCCATAAACCTTAGAGAGACGGCGAGTCCTTGCTGAAACCTTTTATTAGCTGTTGCAACCTTTTATTAGCTTTATCCAGCCTTCATGTTTGGTCAGACTAAACTTCAGAGCATATTCCATCTAAAATCCTGGCAGTAAACAGAAAGTATACGAAGTGGTCATTGAATAAGCAGACTGTACAAGCTCAACTTTATCTCACATTACTGTGTTATCATGCAACTTCACTGTACTTAGAGTTCCTGCTGTCTGAATCATTGATCTCTCTTCTGTTGGTCTAGATGGATGGTGAAGCAGAAATAGTGAGTGGATGCACCCACAGAGAAAACAAAAGGTCATACAAAGACTTTTTGATGGATGTTGAGGACCTGGAGGAAGCAGGATCAGATGCAGAGGAGCATAGCACCAAGATGCTTCACCAGGTGCACTATTCTGGGGATTTTTTAATCATGTTTCTGCACCGAGTTGCAGTGCAGTGTATATTCTGTTGCAGGGACGGTGTCTCCTGTACTTTTCTGGGCAATCGTGGCTCAAGAGTTGGCAGTTTGCCTTGTAATCGGAAGGTTGCCGGTTCGAGCCCCGGCTCCGACAGTCTCGGTTGTTGTGTCCTTGGGCAAGACACTTCACCCGTTGCCTATTGGTGGTGGTCAGAGGGCCCGATGACGCCACTGTCCGGTAGCC